GCGAGTCCATTCGTGGACTCGATGAGTCCACGCTATTTAATGAAACCCTAATCCCCGGGGTTTGAGACCTGTTTAAAGGGGCTTATAGCCACCATTTGCGGCTACCAAACCCTTGATTGAAACCCTTATCGTGTTTGATCATTTGTGAGAGAGAGAGAGAGAGAGAGAGAGAGAATAAGCCATTATTGAACCTTTGTGGGATTGTTTTGCAAGAAGAAGTTGATTCCAGCTTGGAGGAGGCTAAGGAGGTTGCATATTTGTGGATTTCAAGCAGAGGGAATCATCTTTGGGGTAGCAAATCGACCCTCTTTCTGTTTTGTTAAAGCATCCATGGATCTAGGGTTTCCTATGCCCTTTATTGGGTTGATTTGTTGAGAATAAGGTCCCTTATCATGTTTAGAATTCAGATCTGGACCCATAGTGGTCCAGAGAAGGTTATCCATCTTGCTTTATGTTGGGTTATGGAAGAAATGAATTTAGAGTGTTGTAATTGAGACCAAATCATCAAGTAGTGTCATTTGGACATTCCATGTGTATGAAGTTCGAACCTTTACGTGTTTATTGAGCTTGGGGAGGTTAGATCTATGAATTAGAGGAGCAGATCTGACCTCTGAAGGTCATTTGAGTTTGAGCATGGCTTGAACTCACCGAGTCCAAGAACAGACTCGGCGAGTAGGATGAGTTTCCCCCATAAATCATGTAGTGGTAACTCGCTGAGTTGGGGAAGTGACTGAATGAGTCATTTGGGGTTTTGAGGATGTGAGTTCATGACTGAACTCGTCGAGTCACAATTGTGCACTCGGAGACTTTGGTAAAGGGTTGACTTTTGTGACTTTTGTTGACTTTTAGGGTTTGGTCAACTTTAGAGTATTTGAGTCTTGAGAGCGGTAAAATGGTCTTTTACCCTCCTAAGAGTGCTAAGAGGGGGAATGGTCTAGCCTTGGGAATTTTGTTAATGTCGTGTGTTTATTTTCGTATGATTAGGCGGAGGCTAGATCCTATGTCACGGAGACCGAGATTTCCGAGTTACCGAGTTACACGAGGTGAGTCTTCTCACTATACGTTACCTAGAGTGGTATTATGAATTGACCGGAAGGTCTTATGTGATATATATGAGATTGTGTTCCATATATGTGATTATGTGCTGTATGTTGTATGTATGATATATATTTGTATAGACCGGACCAGAGGGTCCAACGATTCAGATCAGGCCGGAGGGCCCAACGAGTTATGATCGGACTACAGGGTCCAACGAGCTACGGGACTAGAGGGTTCCGCTGAGACACATCCACCGGAGGGTCATACAGTAACCTCGAGTGGCGTATATGTTGTATGTGGTATTTTGGGGAACTCACTAAGCATTTATGCTTACAATTGTGGTGTTATGTTTTTAAGGTACAGCGAGGACCGTGGGAAGGCGTCGACATGAACTGTACACATCGAGAGGAGATTTGATTTATGATCTTGGGGACATGTTTGATTAATAACTATTGTGAAACATATTTTGAGAATGTTTTATATATTTAAAATATGGTTGTTGAAAAATGAAAATTTTGTTTTGAAAATCTCGTCGTTACAGTAAGGCTTATAGTGAAGTGTGGAATGGAAAGTCTAGACATTTATCTGTTAGACATAGCATGATTCGTGAGCTCATCATGACTGGTGTGATATCTATGGAATTTATAAGAACTCAGTTGAATTTAGCCAACCACTAACCAAAGGGTTAGCAAGAGATCTTATGCACAAGGTGGCTGTAGGGATGAGTTTAAAGTCTACTTAAAATCCTTTATAATGAGATACCGAATTCCCATCTAATGCAATATTAGATGTTGAATTCAATATGGAAGGCTTGATATTTGATGATTGGAACAAATTTTTATGATCATCCCAAGGTATGTGTTTAGTACTGCAAGTTAAGGAGGTTGAGAATTTATTTCTTAATAGTTCTTTAAAAAATTGCATTTGCATGTGCAAAAACAAAAGAACTACCTATATAAGCATGAAGTTTAGTTGCTTCAAGAACTTGGGAGTTGTCTTTGATATGCTTATTGAAGGATGGGATACAAGCTAGTAAAATATAGTGTCAAGTTAGAATGTTGAGAATGAAAAATGTTATGTATATTATCTTCATGTATTCACTTACAATAGAAATTGTTCAATCCTTTGTGACACTCTGATATTCGAATATTTGGAATGAATAATATACTAATGTGAAATTCAATCGTCACAATATTTCATTTATGCATCAGTTTGTTATTGTTATCATTTTATTTTAAGTTAATCAAAATTACATTTTAAATGGTGGAGGTTTGTTGGTGATTTTATATCACTAATATTATTGAAGTCTAATAGGGTTAATTTGTTGATCAATGTCACTTTGACAACTATCGAACAAATTAGTATGGTGCGAGAACATATTTGTTTCATTTTGTCATTGTTAAAAGTATACTGCTATATAGGGGAGAAGCCCCTAAACTAACGGGGTTCGGGGGCAGTGCTCCTAGGAGCGGGGTCCAAGGGGCAGAGCCCCTGACTGGGTCAACGCTGAAATTTTTTATATGAGTTATGTTACTATATAAAAAATGTGTCAAAATCTATATTTTTTGTAAAAAAAACATCCAGTTTTGTGATCCATTTATAGACCCAAGTTTGTGTTAGTTTTTGATAGCCAATATCACCGTTTTTGGACATGAAGTTATTTTCCTGTAACTACCATATGGTAGTTTTAGGACAAGAAGTTAGTTTTTGTTATAAGATCAATTTTGGATTCATTTGGGGGTACATATTTCATAACATATTCTTCATTCTCCATTCTCGAAAACAGTGAGTTTCATCCGATTAGAGATTTTGAGTGTACCCTCGAAATGCTTTAATCTGAAAGTGTTTTACAACTCTCACTGATCCAAGTTTATCTATATCCTGTTTTTCTAACAAAAATAATATTACAGTATGTATTCATTTAAATTAAAAAGCCAAAAATATGTCTCCTAAAATTAATTGCATGTTTTCTGAATCCTTAAATTTTGGAATTTAAAAATTACCACCATTACAATCAGGAATCTAATATATTTTTTTTATAGTTATTAATTATTTTTGTGTATATAAAAACTTTAGTTATACCTGGATTTCACGTATTATAATCTGGTTATATATATACATATAAATTATATTAACCTTATGAGTAATATACCATTTATTCTTTATGTTTTGCCACAAAATTTTCAACATTTTAACACTTTTGGTTCCTCATCAACCTTTTCAAAGCTTTTCCACAAAGGTTTCAGCACTTTTTCATTTTTTTGTCCCTTCTCAACTGTTTATCATATTAGTTGATAGATTGACACTTTTGGTCCCCCAACTTTGATAGTCTCTATTGCTAGCCACAAATGTTTCAAAAGTTTGTCACTTTTGGTCTTTGACTTTTACCAAATCTAACATCTTAAGTTTTTGTCACGTTAGTTTGTGTAGTTAGCTTTTGATCCCCCACCTTCGATATTCTATTATATGATCGTATCTCGTCAAAAAATTATACACACAAAATAGAAATAACAAACGAGAAAATAATAATAATAATAATAATAATAATAATAATAATAATAATAATAATAAAAAACACAAAAGTATATAAACATAAAAAAGATCGGATCACCGAGAAGCACATATATATTTCTAATTAAATATTAACTCAAAAACTAAAGAATGATCCGGAAATTGTAAATATTAAACCAAAACTAAAGAGTGATAATATATTACAAGAAAACAAATAGTGTTTGAATAATTTACAACCACATACTAAAAGAACATGTGACCCTAACTCACGGGTTCTCTCAGTCATCTATGCCTTCGAAACTCTTTCCATAATGGAGACAAACGTTCTTTATTGTTTATTCAAAAATTTTATTATTTATTTCATATAATCCAGTTTTCTAATAATTTGAATCTTCTTAATACCCTATTAAGTAATATTTCCACAGACTGTATTCATTAATTTATTCGTATCGTCCGTAAAGGACGAGTTTCATAATTCAGATTTCAGACATATAGAATTGAATAGATGATTAATCAACTTTTGTTTTGAAATCGTTTCTATTATGTGTAAATAATGTGTTGCTGTAATCTTTTTCTGAGTTGTAATCGATAATAGTTTCAAAAGGACCACGTTTAATCCAAATTTATCCAATCATTAAATACCTTTTGTTAGTTTCCCTGCAAATTGAAATAAACAACCATATGGCCACACATATCAATGCAAATCTAAAAGATCAATATATATGCTATGAGTTATAATTCTATAATTATGTATGGACTTGAAAACAAACTTTTTAATATGTTTTAATCGATATTCAACACCTTTGGTTTTTTAATTTCGATCAAGCTTTCTTGGCGTTTTATGCAACAATGACTTGTATCATACGTATTGATAATAGTTTACTATTTGATGGAATTAATGTGCAGAGAAGGTTGCAAACAAAAACACCAAGGGAGTAATTCATGTGAATGTTTTTGTTTTTGCATGGCTGGACCTGAAATACGCAGTGGTCTCGAAAAAAGAAGTTGCATGTGAACCATGCAATTAACCACCAAGACTTTAGTTGACATTTCTACTTGACTTAATTAAATACAAAATTCATTTCTATCCCCTCATCTGTCAAAAAAATAAAAGTAATAACGCCACCTTCCCTTTCCAAATTTTAATAGTACATCTTTTCACATATAATTTTACGAATATATGTAAAACATTTTAGAAAGACGGTGATTTTTTCGATATATATTGTATTTTTATCATCCATTATTTAATCATATATCAATGGTTTTTGTCTCAATATAGAATTTAATGAGGGTTGAGAAACTAATCGTGTATATATTATGCACATATATGTAAACAAGAGTACGGACAAAGTAGTCCTTGTGTGAAAAGCTCCAAAGAGACCTTACAAGTACGCATAGAGCCACAAGTTAATATCACTTGAAAAACACACCACAAAGACATTTCACTCCAGATGAATAGAAAGGGTTGCGACATTGAAGCAACAGGCATCAACTACACCATCTACACTCAAAAGCCACAACCCCCTTTCAAGATCTTTAACAAAGATCAACAAGTTACACAACATCAACAACCCTTTCCTGATCCTGACACCAATCCAAGAGCCCGTCGGGTTCTTCGCGAAGTAAGTTGCCATGCAAAACCATGGGAGGTCCTTGCCATCGTGGGCCCTAGTGGCGCCGGAAAATCATCTCTGCTTGAGATCCTTGCCGGAAAACTCACTCCACAAACGGCAAGCATCTATGTCAACCAAAAACCGATGGACAAGTCAAGATTCAAGAAGACTTCAGGGTACGTTACGCAAAAGGATACCTTGTTCCCTCTACTCACAGTCGAAGAAACACTAGTTTTTACAGCTAAGCTCCGACTGAATCTTCCTAGCCTCGAGCTGAGATCACGGGTCAAGTCGTTGATCAAGGAACTTGGGTTGACCCATGTGGCAAATGCACGTGTTGGGGATGATCGGGTTCGTGGGATTTCAGGCGGAGAGCGACGGCGGGTTTCTATAGGAGTTGCGGTGGTTCATGACCCGGAAGTGGTGATTCTCGATGAACCCACTTCGGGGTTGGATAGTAACTGCGCCTTTCAGATCATAGACATGATCAAAACCATGGCTGAGACCAGAGGCAAGACTGTGATCCTTAGCATCCATCAGCCGGGTTTCAGAATCATCAAGCTTTTCAATTCAATATTACTCTTGGCAAACGGCACCGTTTTGCACCAAGGAACAGTTGATGAACTCAACCTCTCTCTACGGCTCATTGGGCTTGAGCCACCTCTTCATGTTAACATCGTTGAGTTTGCAATAGATTCAATTGAATCGATACAACAACAAAAGAACCAGAAGTCATCAAATCTTGAACAAGATATAATTACTGCTTCAACAAACAGAATCACACAAGGTAAGTTCACTTTACAACAACTCTTTCAACAATCAAAAGTAATCGACCTAGACCACGATCACGAAGACAACAAAGATCAAGAACAAGAACAAGACCAAATGATTACAGATGGCTTCGCAAATTCAAGATTCTTCGAAGCAGTAATCTTGACGCATCGATTCTGGAAGAATATTTCTCGAACAAAAGAGCTTTTTGCGTATCGAACTCTCCAAATGCTCGTATCAGGTTTGATCCTAGGCTCGATCTTTTACAACCTAGACATGGACTTGATCGGGGCTCAAGAAAGGGTAGGTTTATTTGCATTCATTTTAACATTTTTGCTATCAACGACAGTAGAAGCTCTACCAGTTTTCTTGCAAGAAAGGGAAATACTAATGAAAGAAACTTCATGCGGAAGTTATCGAGTTTCCTCGTACGCAATAGCAAACGGACTTGTATACTTGCCATTTTTGCTAATCCTTGCGGTTTTATTTGCCACCCCATTATACTGGTTAGTCGGGTTGAACCCTAGTTTCTTTGCATTCTCGAGGTTCCTCCTCTTGATCTGGTTGATTCTCTACACTGCAAACTCGGTGGTGGTGTGTTTTAGCGCACTGGTTCCGAATTTTATCGTGGGAAACTCAGTGATATCAGGTGTGATTGGATCTTTCTTCCTGTTTTCGGGTTATTTTGTGTCGAAACAAGGTACGCCAAAGTACTGGATATTCATGCACTATATTTCATTGTTCAAGTATCCATTTGAAGGATTGTTGATGAATGAGTTCTCTGGTGATGCTGAAGGAAAGTGTTTGGAGTATCTGTTTGGAAAGTGTTTGGTGAGTGGTGAAGATGTGTTGAGGGAACAAGGAGGGTATGAGGATGATGGTAAGTGGAAGAATTTTGTGATTATGGTGTGTTTTATTTTGGTTTATAGGTTTATTTCATATGTGATTCTTAGGGTCAGATGCTCCCAAAGGGGACTTAAAGGTGCCCTTCTTTGAATTTTTTTGGACATTTGTAGTCTTGATTATTGAAAAAAGTGCATGAAATATTAAGCTAATATGTGGTGTACTTTATAATACGTTTTATATAATTGAAAAACATATTTAACAATGTATAAGCTAATATTGATATTATATAAAAGGCATATAGTTATCGGACTAGCAATTAATCATATATAACCAAGATGTTGAAAATTGTAATGAAATGAAACTTTATTTATTTATAAAGACTAACATTTTAAAATTAACTTTATAATACAATATGTTATATTTACCATTAATTAAAAACTTCTATTATTAAATGTTTATCTCTTAGTTTTATCGTTAATCGTCTCTCAATCTCAATGCTTACTGTATATTTTGAAATAAATATATGCTCAGAGAGAGGAATTTTAATCAATTTTTATTAAAATAATGTTTTTAAAGTTTAGCTAGTCAGTTAATTTTAATAATCAATTTTCATTTTTAGAAGCTATTATAAATATAAAAACAAAGTTACAAAGGCAATGTTGAAACTTATAAATAACGTCGATTCTGGCAATAATAGCAAATTTAAATCTACAATCAAGTAATATTATTTTTAAAATTTTAATTATTTAGTGTGTTTTATAATAAAATATCGTTTATAACACATTATGTTTCATTTTGACATGCGTCTCGTCTCATTATTGTACGAAGTGATCGATAATATCGAGGTGCGTGTCACGGGTGTCAAACAGTGGTGTAGCTTTTAAAAAAGAAATATCAAAAATCCAAAATAGTTATTGTCTTGGCTTAAGTGTTTTATATGATTTTATATTTCTTATAAGTTATTTGATTAAATGAATTTTCGACATGAACTGTATATTAGCATATTCATATCATTTTTTCTTACAACGGCTAATACATTAATGCCTAGTTTTGGAGTTGTACCAGAAAAAATAAAAGAAGAAAAAAGAAAGTAAAGAGAGAAAAAAAGGAAAAATGAAAAGAAAAAAAAATTATCTTTTGTGTTCTTGGGTTTGAGAAATAAAATGAAAATTAAACATTTTAAAAAATAGAAGGAAAATTAAATATTTTGTTATTAATCTTGAAATCCTTCCAAATCGGAAGGATAGTTAGGAGAGAAATTGATCTTTCCATTTATTTTCACTTCCTTCTCTAATGAAACTCGAGAATACTAATTTTTTTTCATTTCACATCTACTCATTTCTTTTGTTTCTCTCTTTAAGTTGAACTCGAAAATAGGGTATAAGAATCTAAAAGCTAAACATAAGCTAGAACAAAGGGGACATACATAGGAATCCCAAGTGCATTTGGGCAAGCAAGCCACATACCCGGGTCTACTTTAGGTTTTCTAATTCTTACCCTAAACCTAACTAAAAGTTTTAATCATTTGATTAAAAACAAGACTATAAGGTTGAAAGGTATATATACCCTCACGGCCGCATTCTGCAGTGAGGGCGAGTTGAACATTTCACAGCCTTTGGACACCACACTGTTGGGTGCGAATAACCTGAGGGGAGACAACACATTCTCTTTTTTCCTCTTTTAGCGGTAAGAATTTAAGTTTTTTATTTCCAATTTTTATAATCTTTCTATTATAATACATATATATATATATATATATATATATATATATATATATATATATATATATATATATATATATATATATATATATAAATAAAAGGGAGGTGTAACACTTGAATTTGGTAAGTTTCATATTTAATCTCTATTCTACAAAGTTTGTAAATTTGGTCCTTAAGCTAGTACGTAGGGCATAATAACCTATTATGGCCACGAAGCTTATCCACATATGTTGGGTGTACGTGAGGAATTACGAAATCCTAATTTTAGGGCTTGCACCCTATATAAACCTTATGATAGCCTCATGAGGTCATGTTTACCCACCATCCATATCTTTAAAACCCTAATTTCGTCTCTTAGCCTTTGTGTGGTGCTTGTGAGCTCTTATAAAGATCTTTGGTGTGTTTTGTGCATCTTGAAGTGGTAGAAGGAGAAGATTAAAGACTCATCCTTTGGAGAAGACCTTAGAGATCTAGATTTAGCTTCTCCATTTCGTGATTTTTGAGGTATAAAGTCCATAACTTGTTAGCTCATTGTATAGATCTTCTTTTAGGTTTGTTTATGGCTATTTTGGTCCCTTTTGGTTGGTTCTTATGAGCTAAGGCTGTTTACGAAGCTTAACCTTTTAGATCAAGACATTTTAGGGGTCCCTTAAGTATAAAATGAAAAGTTTATGGTGTATATGGACTCTTGCATGTGTTAAGACCCTTGATTAAGCTCTTTTGAGCCCTAGAACCCCATAAGCCATGCATGCATGTAAAATTGCCAACTTAACATGAAAAGTCATCTTTGTGACAAGATCAAAGAGTCTAAAGTAGGGGTTGAACGAATTAACTGCTTTATGAAGTGGTTTGGCCAACTGGGGAGTATGTTGGGCGTACAAGTTGGTAGGCTGCACATACTAGCCCCAGAGTGTGTATGCTAAGTGTACGAGCTGAGTACGCCCAACGTACTCAGTAGGTGGGCTTCAGTTTTGGGCTTCTCGATTATGGGCCATGTGTGGACCTTAGGAGTTTACGGTTTTGTTTAGCTATCAGATTTCTAGTTTTGGAATTGGGCCTTCGGTGGCTATTTCGAAGATTAGGCTATAATTGGGCCTTCGGTGGCTATTTTTGGAATTGGTCCTTTTTGAGTAGTTAGTTAGGGCTTTGGACGTTGGCCAAGTTAGGTAAAGGATAAAATGGTCTTTTACCCTAGTTTGGACTATTAGTATGAGTCGAGACCTAATTATTCATTTGATGTTATTTTATGATGATAGCATAGGAATTTTCGGAATAGCAGCTAGAGATTTATCTGTGAGATTCAGCTGTCTAAGGTGAGTCTTCCTCACTGTGTTTAGCGGGTCAAAGGCACCAATACCGACCCATGGTTTTATTAAGTTAGGGTGCTAGATGTCTATGTAACTCTTACATGTGTATGTATGCTTAGTGGTGGAGCCCAATGGGTAATCTTTATGCTATTACTTGTTATACTTGTATGTTGGGTGGGGCCCGTTGTAAGAGTTAGAGCGAGGCTCGTTATACTCAGTGGGCGGGGCTCGTTATGCGAGTTGGTGTGGGGCCTGTTATACTCATCAGGCGAGGCCTATTATATGTTTGATATGTGTGATATATGGTATTTGTGGGAAACTCACTAAGCTTCGTATGTACAATTTTGAGTTTATTTTTTAGGTACTTCTGGTGCAAAAGGGAAGAGCTCATCGTGATTGTAGTGCACATAAGATATAGTTCCACATTTTCATGATAATTTATGATGTATTGATACATTTAATCCTTTTTTAGATTTATTATGATGTTTTGGCATAATGTTTTATTAATCGAAAAAACAAAGTTTTGGTTCTTATTTTTGGGACATTACAAGTTGGTATCAGAGCCTTAATTTGAGGGATTCGGAAATACTCTTAGGTGTGTCTAAACTTAAATTTAGGATTTGGTAGAAATTTTAAAAAAAGAAATGTTTTTAAAGAAAATGGTTTTCTAATACAAGAAATGGGTGTGGTACATGCAATCGTCCGAGCTCAAGTAAGTTTTCCCAAAATAGTCATATATGTTATCTGATATGATTTGATTTATGAATCTGTGAATCTCATGCTAGTTAGGGCTAAGAATTTGTTCAGTATTTTCATGATAGAATGCTAGGAGATATGCCTTTGTATGCCTATTGTATAGCTTGTAGACTTACATGCTAGTACCGATCAGTCGGTGATAGGATGTCATTATTAGGTTATGCTTGGTTCTGATTACTTGGTGCTCGCATGCTGCTTTCTTTGTGCTTTTTAGAAGTTCTCACTAGTTTCAACTAACTAGTAAGAGAATATGTTAAGTTACATATTATTGAGACTAGATGATTGTAGAAGGTTAGGTTTTAACTCTATTACGCAGCTCTTGCTTGAATCCAACCGTCGTAGCGTGAGGGCTTTAATTCGAAGAATTATATGGTTTTTGTGTTATGTAATTGTATTCTTGAGCTAGTTATAGGAAGTTAGCAGGAGTTCCTTTTACAAATGATGGCGGAGAGTAGTGTGGAGTTTTCCCTAGGAAAACATCGGAAGAGATTTAGTGTTCGGAGCCTTATCTTAATAAGGGTAAATTGTATAGATATAAAGTGGCTTGGCGTATTCAAGGCAATCCTTAAGGAAAGTACAGATAGATATGGAAGGTAGTATGGGCCCTTACTATTGCAATCAGAGGGTTTGTACTTGAGTCTAGAGAGTCGCGATGAAAACAGGAAGCTTGTAGAGTTTGCGATCCCTGGATATATTTTGTTGTGCATTTTGATGCTTTATATGTGTAGCACCCGGTTCCTAGTATGTAGTTCATTGAGTATTTGTTTCGCATTTTGGACTGAGACTCAGCTAGTTGATGGCCCAACTTGTCAAGTAGTAGCGGTTTGGACCTGGGGTATAAGTGATGGACTCATCGAGTCCGCGGCAAGACTCGACGAGCAGATGCTGGTTGGGTAAAACCCTAATCTGAGGGTTGGCACCATATTTAAACAACCTTATACAGCCTCCATCACCCCCTATATGCTCCTAGAACACTCCATACAGAACCCTTATCGTGTTGTGAAGATATAAAGGCCTTTTTGGTGATTCTTGGTGGTTTGTGGTGGCAAGAAGGAAGGAGAAGCTTGAGGAACCAAGGGGTTGGCCAGAGGAGTCAAACTTGTGCATCATCTACATTTCTTGGAAGGTATAAAGTCGACACCTTGCTCCTTCTTGTATGAGATCCCTTTTTGGAGGAAATTAGGGCTTTATGGAGCCATTTTTGGTAACCAAATATGAATGCAAGCATGATTGAGGCTAAGACTCCAGATCCAAGGTCCTTAGGGGACTAAAAAACATAAAATAGCTGACTTTGGGGCCTTAAAAAGCCCCATGCATTTTAAGAGTTTCTTTTAGAGCCTTTTGTGCTTATTCTCCCATGGATGCACGTAAAGTTTGTAACTTTACGTTCTAGACCGATCTTAGGAGCCTAG